TTTAAGACAAAACAACGTTTGCCGGCACAGCTAGTTATTATTATATATATAATTATTTATCGACATTGCTAACTAGGTCATCTCACTGCAGTCACTATACTGCAGAAATCTAATCGTTTTAGAAAAAAAAAACATTTTTATTTACCACATAAACAACAACTTAAAATTTCTATACAAGAAGGTCAGATGTGCCGAGAATCGAACTTAGGACCGTAACAAACGTGTCGCCTACGCTCCAGATACTATTTCCGCAATGAACAAACTCCATTGACCTTGTGTATACACGTAGGCTTATATAATTATTCCATATATAGCAAATTGATTATTCTGCATGAACGAGTTTTATAGTAAACAAACAAGGGGGGGGGGGGGACAGAGTGGAAGGGATATATAGTAATGGTGACTTTTTTATGGATGACTAGCTGTTAACTTTATTTTTCTAAAATGAAAGTAGCTTAAGTTACTCCTTATTACATCAGCTACCTGTCAAAATCGGTCCAGCCATTTCAGAGATTAGCCGGAACAAACAGACCGACAGACAGACAGTCAAAAATTGTAAAAAATGTTGTTTTGCTGTATGTACCGTATTTATATTCATATGAATGTAGTAAAAAATGGTTGTTTCAATATTACAAACAGACACTCCAATTTTATTTATATATATAGATAATATTAAGATTGTTTGTTACACTTACAAATTGAAATAAAAAATATAGTTTATTCACCTAATATAAACGCGGAAGTTTGTGATGGATGTTTGTTACACATTCGCGCAAAAACTACTGAACGGATTTTAATGAAACTTTACAATATTCTAGTTTATACATCAGAATAACGCATATGCTATAAATGACATGCGGATGAAATTGCGGGCACAGCTTGTGCGTAATTTTTTTTCTCGTCATTCACGTTTCAATTCATGCATACAATTGTTCCGATACAATTTTTTTTAATTGGGTTGTTTGGGCTATTGTCAGATGTTTTTTTTTTCCAATGGATGATAATGGAATGTTACACCCGCCTGCGCTAATGGTTTACGCTGGCGGGGCACCAGTGGAGGATGATAAGATGAACATGAGGTCAGGTCAGTTAGCCCATCGTGACAAATTTACCAGTAATTTATCACGATGGTTTCCAGGGGGAACCGCGTGGAGGTCAACCTGACATGGTACATTGCTAGCAATGAGACGATCAGTCCACATTACTAACAATCCACTTTCCCCCCTATTGTCAGATGTGTAGCACCTGTAGCACTGCGGCCTACATAGATCTATTGTGCTCGTCCTTTTTGAGAGTTCGCTGCCTAGACCCGTCAGGGACAAGAATTGAAGGATATTCTTAGGAGCGATCGTTTTTATCTCCTCGGGAAAGAGAGTAAACTTTCCAAAGGAGATATTTCGTTTATGCATGAGTGGGCTACAACCACATAGGATGGGTAGTGGCGTTTCCTCTTCAGTTTGGCAGAATCTGCAGATACTTGTCGTGCATAGACCTAGTTTAGCCATATGCTTGTTTAATTTGCAGTGTCCTGTGAGGGCCCTAGTCATCATGCATATGTTTCCGTTACATACTAATGCTACATTCATGAATGACCAATGATGAATGACCGATACAAACAATCATACTCATGAATACAAATGTTTGTACCGTGTATCCAGAGCTCGTGTTGTGGGTACTAGACAACTGATATAAATACATAGATGTTATTTTTCTAAATACATACATAAAATACATAGAAAACATCCAGATTGATACAAACAATCATACTTATGAATACAAATGTTTGCGAGGAATCGAACCCGCGACATTCGGAAATGAGGCGTTCTACTAAACCGCTAGACAATCGAGGTCGTCATATCGACGTTATCATTAGAAACATGAAATTTGGTTTGTGTTTGTGTTTATGTCAACATTAGAATCATATCTTATTGATTACAGTAATCTGGGTCAGATTTCGTAAAAAAAATCATGTTTACAACGGTATCATCTATTTAGTATTTTTCAGTTTATTTACTACTAGCTGTACTCGCGACTTCGTCCGAGTGGAAATTAACTTTATTTTTCAAAAATAAAAGTACTTAGTCTTAGTTACCCCTTATTACATCAGCTACCTGCCAAAAAAAGTCCCGTCGAAATCGATACAGCCATTTCAGAGATTAGCCGTAACAAACAGACAGACAGACAAAAATTGTAAAAAATGATATTTTGGCGTATATACCGTATTTATATTCATATGCATGTAGTAAAAAACGGTTATTTCAATATTACAAACAGACACTCCAATTTCATTTATATGTATAGACTTCCGTATAAAAAAAAATGTAAATAAACCATTTCACTAGACGACGCTGTGTTCAAAAACCCACTTTGAATTATTCAGGGATATTAAATTAATTATAAAACATATTTACAAAAAAAATCTAATGTATCACTACATAATATAAAACAAAGTCACTGTCGCTGTCCGTCCGTCCCTATGTATGCTTAAATCTTTAAAACCACGCAACGGATTTTGAAACAATTTTCTTTAATAGATAGACTGATTCAAGAGGAAGGTTTATATATACAATACATGTACACCCGGGCGAAGCCGGGCGAGTTTAAATATATATATCAGTTATCTAGTACTCATAACACAAGCTCTGCTGAGCTTGGGTCTAGATGGCGCTGTGTGAATTGTCCTGAGATTATTATTTTTATAAATATCTCTTTTGATCTACTCGATGGCAGTTCTATAACCGTTAAAGCTATCTAAATCGATGCATTAAGTTACCCTTGGCCTTTTGAAGCCCGGCCGAGTTCACCCTTGACCTACAACGAAGGGCAGCCATATTGTATAATCTTATATCTCAACAGCTACCTTTAGAACTTAAGTAATTAGTTTAAATGTTAAGTTTTAGTCCTATACAGTTTTAAACTTCATCCAGTACCTATGTCACAGGCTCGGCCTAGTTCAGATTTAGTTTAATTTTAAATGTTATATACACTAGCAATCATATAAATAAGTAAATAAATAACACTTACAAGATTTCACCAATAATTATTATTCTAAATACATTACAGTCATATTTTCCCGCTATTTATATGCACAGAGTAATTAATACATTTTTTTCCCATATTCGTCCATCTCCTTTTCAATGATGGAACAGGCAAAGATCCTTAGACCGTACAGCCTAGTCTACGTTTAAACTTCTTCATATTTGTACAGTAATTAATACAGTTTTCCAGAGTTAACATCGAATTCTATTAAGATTAAACAAAATTGAATTGAATTTAGACGGCTGTATGGACATAGTCTTTCCTTTTGCTATAAGGATAAATAAAACTAAAAAAAATAATCTATGTAACAATGTAACAATGCACATTTGGAGAAACTTATGCTAACAATTACAAAATACAAATAAACAAAATGTCTAAATATAAGCCTTTAGAGAAAAAATATTACTGATAAAATTAAAATAATTTGCTCTAATTTACTCAAGCGTACTTATGCATTTCACTAAGAAAATATAAATTTTCCCGCCAAAATAATATTAAAATTTAGTGAAAAATAAACAGGCAAAGGAACAAGACTCCGCGGATTTATAATCATTAACGAAAAATCGAATAACGAAAGAGGTAACTCGAGTGTGAATGTACGCAAATACCGACAGGGGAAACCGTAGCAAAATGAAGTATAAATTGGAGCTCAATCAGCTCCATTGGCATTCCTTCGTCTCTGCCTACATCTAATGGGACATAGGCGTGACGGTATGCAGTTAAAAAACGTTTAAATAAGCATGAGTATTTCGTAGAATTTGTACGCGACAACAATGTACAAAGCAACCATAAGCAAAATCCATGACTATTTTTAAACCAAACAATGCTTTATATAATGGTCATTCTATATATCAAAGCAATTGCTACCTTATTACTGTAGCAACAGAATATATTTTTGTTACTGTGTTGTTTCTCTCGGACTTGCGAAACTCGGGTTGCCTAGCAACGGCATGTAAACAAGACTTGCCAATACAAAATTACTTATATGTATGTAAGAAATGTACTGACTCGTTATTATTTTAATTAAGTTATTTTACGTATATATATTGAAATTACTTTTACATATAACTTTTTCATATATAAATAATATTAATATAAGAAATCAAATTAAAATATGTCAAGAATTAAATTAATAAGTATTTAAGTACACACTTTTAATTATATTTTGGAATATTTACCATTATCTTGTCAATGTCAAATATAAAATAAACAGAAATTGTAGGTTAGTTTTCTATATATATATTTCATCTGTCTTCTGTATAGTCATATACATATAAATTTATTTATAAATCAGTATTACCACAGACCTATTATGAATTATCTTATCTGTCCTACTATTACAGAGTAAGATTGAGTTATATGTATTAGTTTAACAAGTACACAAACATACGAAAAACAATCGTAAACCTCTCTATTACCATATATCATTGTCATTCATAAAAATTACATAAAAAAATATTTGTGACAATGTATTATTATTTCTATAGCAAGTAGAGACATTGCCAAAAAAGAAATTTAAAAATAATTTTTGCTGTAGTGCCAAAACGAGACAAAGGAACCTTAATTGTGCGTTTATATATAATTTAACTACGTAAGAACTTGTCAGAATATAATAAACAATTATGTCATTTCTATACGTATATTGGAATAAATTAAACTATTCTATTAATTTTGTTTATTATTAGTAAGATAATATTATTTAAAAATGAATATGATATATTATGAATGCGTCCATTTTTCTAGATAATAGCTTTAAAAAAATAACTTTAGTTATTTTTTCTACGAAATTATTCATCTTAATTCATTTTAAATTATTGAATTAATCGTAATCGTTATACTAAAATGAGTATATTTCATAAATACAATACATTACATTTAGTTATAATATATTTTTTCTATTCTTATTGTTTATAAAACTTCTAATATAGAAAAAAGAAATTAATAAAAAAAAATAAACATACCTCGTATCCTCACATTTCACTGTGTAACTGGCCAGTAACAAAAACATAAACAATTTCATTGTCACTACATACAAACTATAAAATAACAATAAAAAAAACAACAGATTATAAAAATAATACTGGTCGAAAATACTTTTATACTTTTTTATGAAAATTAAAATGATAACTTTTTAAAATTGTTTTATAACCATAGTTTATGTATATTTATCGTTTTTTTCCCGCGTAATTAAATAAAGCAGCGTACGCTGTCGTGTCTATGCTCCACATGTGTGGATATGGACATGTTAAGTGTTCGAATGCCAGTTGTGGCGTGTAGGCTAGGGGCTATGGTGCGTTTTTTATCGTTTATGCAAATAGTGACAAGTTATTAAGTACGCCGGAAGGCTATATGAAATATACGTTTAGATAAGATGACACAAAGGAGTTGTTTTATAACTACTAACACTATCTGCATGATTTACTTTATATTTTTTTAGTAAAATACATTAAATTTCATTCTGTATTATTTCAGTAAATGCTTAAGTTATGAAAATATTACCACAGATAAGATATTATATTACTAAGTGCAATAAATAAAATAATGTTGGTACTCAAGGAGTTGTAGTTAATAGATTAAAAACTTTTTTATATTTTTCTCCATATTATCCCAGAAAGACGTGCATCAGAAACTTTTCTCTTTTGAATAGTGATTTCTTGTGGAAGAATAGATTGTTAATTATGGCGTCGAGTAACTTCTTTGCCAGCAATGTTATCAAATTTCAAATTCAAATTCAAATTCAAAAATCATTTATTCATGTAGGATATTATATAAGGTTAACCTCCACGCGGTTCACTCTGGAAATCATCATGATAAATTCCTGCTGAATTTTTCACTAAGTGCTAACAGACCTAACCATATTGTCATCTTATCATCCTCCACTGGTGCCCCGCCAGCGTAAACTGTTTGCGTAGACGGGTGCACCATTCCATTATTACTCATTAAAAAGGCACCAAAGATAGGGGGTGAGATGTTATTAATGTAGACTGTAGATCCATGTGCCATGTCCGTTTGACCTACACGCGGTTCCCTCTGGAAACCATCGTGATAAATTCCTGGATTCTTGTCACGATGGGTAACAGACCTGATCTCATGTTCATTTTATATAAGCGTAAAGTGCCATTCCATTATCATCATCTGCTCCTTCCTTGTCCCATTTATTTGTGGTCGGCGTAATATATTTTTCGCATCCATTCATCCCTGTTCGCAGTCATCGCGTTATTTACTTCCTTTCTTACCATATCATCTTTCACATAGTCCATCCATCTCTTTTGCAAGTGCCATTCCATTATCATCCATTAAAAAATCACATATATTCAAATCAACCAAAGCAGTGACAACTCGTTTTCTAATTCTACGCGTAATGAATAATGCATAACATTTATGAAGAATTCTAAAGCGATCCTTTGAATGTCCATATAGGAAAAGTGTATATTGTAATGCAAATGTACGACGCGATGGAATATGTAGTTTGTTAGGACGACTCACGACTGTAAACACAAATGGCATGGACAGTAGGCTTCTTGCCACGCTGGATTAATATAAATGCTAGTAATAGACATACTATAGTCTCAGTGTTCTCATGAATACAACTACAAAATAAAATGTACTCTGCGAGGAATGGAACCGCCGACCATTGGAAGTAAGGCGGTGTGGTTTGCCTAGACTACGGAGGCCGTTAATAATCTCTGGATCCACTGAACCGATTTTGGATTTTTTTTTAAATTATTTATATAACATAACATTTTTTTTAAATATAGTAAAATCTGCCGCTTCCTTTGTGGTGACATTCTTTTGGACTATTATAATATAACATTACAATCAATAGCAGCGGAGTTGCAATGAAAAAACTATGAATTGTGTTAATTTTATTTTTTTACCTAAATATTATTTAGTTTGGTTAAGTGTTTTGAGGGTATTTATACTAAAACGTATTCTTACTGTCTACCCGTCTGACGCAGTTTCACCCCAAAACTACTAAACGGATTAAAATATAATTTGGTACACAGATAGTCTAGATCCTCAGAAAGGACATAAGCTACGTTTTGAAACAAAAAAAGGTTTGACAGGGGAGGTCAAAGGTTGTATGGAAGTATCGTTATTTTTAAAGCTAGAAGTTTGATATTTAGGGGGTTGATTAAATATAAACAAATATGACATTCAACGTCTGCAAAAATTTTACCCTGAAGAGAGTAAAATAAAATATGGGCTGAAAGTTCGCATGGGAATTCGTGATTCGGCATCTATTTCGAGGACGAAATCGCGGGTACAGTTAGTCAGTAGTAAGCCATATAAACCGACCTAAAAATTCTTTGTATAGATATAATAAACTGTTACAAACAATGTATCTAATCTTTTCTGTATACAATATTAGATTGTACTAATCTATATAGAGAAAAGATTATAGATTAACTTTGATCACATACTAGACAACGATTGCCTGAAGATATTCACAAAAACATGATGCTCTGAGAATAGGTTTATAACAGGGATGTTAGGGAGCTCCGTAACCATAACGGAAACTATCGGATATCCGATATAAAAAAATATCCGTAACCGTAACCGAATCCAAAACAAGAGTTTCACAGAGACACGTTATGTAACCATTTTATTAGTTATTAGTATTTTCCTTTTGAAATTCCTTAAAAAAATAATATCCGTAACCGAAATTATTCGAAACTAACGGATAATCCGAAATAATTTAATATCCGCATCCGTATCCGTATCCGGTATAATAATCATTACTATATCCGAAACCTATCCGTATCCGAAATTTCATATCCATAACATCTCTGGTTTATAACTATTTTTGATTGCTAGGAGGTGAATGAAGGTGGCCCCAAAAAAAAAAGATTTTATAATAGTTTTGATAACATTTTTATTTATGATGTTACATTAAAAATACATACATTTCTAAAATTTCACCCTTCTACCACCCTTATTTTTGAATAGCGATATTTTTTTAGATGGCAAAACAACGTTTGAATTCTTATTTTTTTATAGTAAATAAGTTTAATATAAAATAATGAAAAGAATCAACAAAATGGAATTTGGCTCCTGGATTACAAGAAGGAAGTATTTTTTCAACACGCATTGATAACAGAATGTAGTAAGCGTATTTATTCTTTTAATAACTTGATCCGCACCTCACTATACTGCTTGATGTTTTATCTTAGAAAAACACACTCACCTGAGCTCAAATTACAGTGGACGCTGCATAGTTCCTGTATTGTATTCCAAGAGTACAACCAAAACGTATTTGCAATCGGTTTATAGTAAATTGTATTTTAATAGGTTGATATACGGTTTGTTTTGAAGGCAAAAAATAAATTTGTAATGGAATTTGGTAAGAGTATGGAGCAATTGATACAGTTTTGAAATGTTTTAAATATGGAATTGTAAAATGGATTCTTTAGTCTCATATTTCAGTATATAGTAAAGTATAAAAAAATATTGCAATACATACCGTATTGCAATATTTTTTTCTGTGGTTTTTTTCAATAAATGATAATTGAATGGATTATCACGATGGTCTAACTGACTCCTATCATCATCCACTGAGCATGACGTCAGGTCAGTTAGCACATCTTGAAGAATTAATTGGGAATTATCACCATTGCTTCCCGAGAGTAAATGAATGTTTATAATATAAAAGTTTTGGTAATTTCTTAACTATGCCCTCCCTTCTCTGGCTCTAGCTAGTAAGTAAAAAAATACGGCCGTGGTATAGCGGTTTCGCATGTTCACTTCTGATGGTCGCGGGTTCAATATTTTTTTTTTATACCACAATATTATTTATCTAAAATTCTCGTGTCAGTTTTCGTTCCCATAATCCTCCGAAACGGCTTGACCGATTCTCATGAAATTTTGTGAGCGTATTGAGTAGGTCTGAGAATCGGCCAACATCTATTTTTCATCCCCCTAAATGTTAGGGGTAGTATTTTTTTTTTATTTTATGGGAAAACAACGTTTGCCGGGACAGCTAGTATTCTATATATTTATAGCAACCACGTCTCTGTACCGTAAGACACACATTGGTCGTAAACCTTCGTCTTGAGACACTGCGGTAATTTGGACGAAAAGATATATCGGAGCTTCCCGAACGCTGCCCATCCGAAGATTCGACGATTGACCTCTTTCTCGAAATTGGATCTACATACCTGGATAGTTTGCCGATATATATGTATAGATATAACATATTATTACTGTAATATACATTATTATATACACGTAACTTCTATGTACCTTCAAAACTAATTACAACGTAATTGAAGTAAATTTAACATTAGTTATAATTAAATAAATATATTAGGAAAGGTTTTCCTTGAACACAATCATTTTGTTGTTTATTTAGTTATAAAGCACTTTACTTGTACGTACCTACTTTTATGTATTACTTAACTAACTAACTATGTAACTAACTTAACGATATCATACGCTGGTCCCTTGCCACCGTCAACATGCCAAGTCTTGAGCCGACTGGTACTGCAAGAGACGATGGTAAGAGTTTGATTCCATGGAATATGGTCCGGGTGCTGGTATGGGATGCAACCTGTTCAGACACGCTGGCCCCATCCCATCTACATGGAACCAACAACAGAGCTGGTGCGGCATGTGAAGCGGCTGAAAAAGCCAAAACATGTAAATACAAGGGTCTAGGCTCCGAATATGATGTTGTCCCATTCGGTGTCGAGACCCTTGGTCCGTGGGGTCCTAGCGCTATAAGACTTTTCAAAGAAATAACGAAAAGGTTAGTCGACATCACAGAAGACCGAAGAGCTGGCAGCTACCTTGGACAAAGAATTAGTCTAGCTATTTTTTTTTTCTCGACTGGCAACATTACCGATAACTGTCTTTGTCAGCTGGCCGTAATAATTAAATACTTTTATATAATTTATTACTCGATTTTTTTAGTGCAATTGATATAATTAGTGAGTTTAAGCTATAAGAAGCATCTATTGTTGTTTGTGTTCATTTTTATATTGTATTTGTGTACAAAAATCGACACAAATATTTCCTACCGGTCAACTGTC